ATGGGAATTGTTAGTACAAGTAGAGATACGGTTTACTGTTCCTGGTCATTTTGTCAGCAAGATCTTGCAAGAGAGTCCGTTGTTTGGATCCTCATCGTATGGTCCAGGATCATGAGATCCAAACTACAAACATAATCTCTTTTCTTGATAATAGAACGATAACCCATCACCAATTACAGACTTGGCAAGCTGGCAATCCATCAAAAAACTTCAGCCTGAAACATGTCTTTTCACACCATTTGCTTAGCCAGGTAGATTCTGCAAGGCATCCAAGCTTCTGTCAATTCTTTCTTCTATCCAGCCAAGTCTCCTCTCAAGTTTTAACACACTAGCATGCATAACCCTAATATCAACTTCCGCAAGCTTGGCAAATGAGCGTATCAAGAGGTAATAATCAGCATGTCCAGCACAAACAAGACGACCAGTCATTGTCTTCCTTCTATAGTGAAGGTAACCATCTGATCTTGGCCACTTCCTTGGTGGCATATAACAAAATCCGTGGTCTTCCATTTCTGACTTGATACTTTGTATCCCTGATGATGATGATGCGGAAAAGCACCTTGCACCAACAGAAGTCCCATCCCTACCTCGTTTATTCACTCCATTTGTGGTGTGCGCTTTTGAATTCTCATTCTACAGTGCAACAGGTTTATACATCAAATCAACAACAATCGCCACCAAAAGACATGTAGATAATCCTAGAGGTGCTACATTTGTACAAATTTGAAGTTCAAATATGCTGCGAATAAAAAAGGAATAAGAGTTGACAACAACATTAAGTTGGGTGCATCACCTCTCGTCCTTTGTACAGATCCTGGAAGATCTCTATTAAGTGCTCTTCTTCAACTGAGCACGCAATCCCAGGAAAAACAACATCTTTGCAATATCTGAGATATGAGTGAAGATCCTTCGAATAGTCTGCAGAATTAGAAAACTTCGTCAATTTTATACCACTATTAAGCATTTGGTCTAGTAAAAAGTACACCCTAGAATGCATTCACTCAGACACAAATCTGAGCAAATATATCACCATGAACATCGTATTAAAAAAAGGGCAGCCCGGTGCATGTAGCTCCCGCTTGCGCAGGGTCCGGGGAAGGGTCCGACCACTTCATGAACATCGTATTAAATAGATGAAAATGGAATGCACATTTTTCTTATCCAATATACTTTGCCATCATTGTACTTCTAAGATTTCCTTGATAATAAAAAACCAGACTAACCACGTCTAGCCTTTGGGGGCTATATTTAATAGAAGGGGCATCCTTGAGCACAAGGCGAGCGAGCCAAAACTCGAACACAGGCGGGCAGGCCGCGCACGCATGTGCCATGCCAACAGAGTGATGCTCTGTTCTCACTAAAGGGGAATTACTGAGCGCCATCCGTACAAAAGAAAGAGACAGGTGCAGCTCTGCCTTGGTTGGATTTTTGAAACATGGGATCCCTTGAAACATAATGAAATGTTCTAGAATACTCTTTGTCAGACCTCTATGTTTGTGTAAGAAAGAATGAGAATATGTCTTTTGGATAATCCAAAGGTACTAGCAGAAAACAGTATATTTCACTGGAAGATACTGGTGCATTATTTGTTGATTTCTGTAATGCTGCCTGGTGCAAATGCCCCATAAATGTTCAATTCTTGTGTTAGTCATTAACAAGCATAATGAAGCTCTCTATTTATAAGTGGGAAGATTGAGATCCTGGAAATGTGAACAGTTATTTATTGCAAACAAGGCCAGAAACTCCACACATACATCGATGTATTATTCTATTCATTACAACAATTTAAATTTTATTCTAGCAATTCTTGCCAGTTTATTACTAAGTAAATGTCCTAAAATTTGAAAATACACATATAACAATGGTCCATACTCCATACATATCCTAACCTAGTAACTGAAAATTACCATTGCAAGATAGACTAGTGGCTCTACACATAGGACAGGAGGGTATAACCTATTAAGTAGTAACATACGAAATACGACATGCCTACCATGGTAGATAGTACCATTACGTCCTATTCTCTGTTATGACATAGCTACTGTGCTAGAAGCTAGAATAGCATGTAATTGGCAACATAAGAGGTAAATATATAAATCGCTAATGGACAACATAAGGATGAGACCTGACATGAATATATTACAAGGAAAAAAATGATTTAGATGCAAAGCAATGGTCAAACAATTACCATGTGCAACGTCAATTTTATCATAGGCATCTGCAAGAGTCCAAAGCAATTCTTTTGTGCCAAACTCCTCACTGGTACCACCATCAGGTTTCATAGATGGTGCTAAATTTGCATCACCGTCAGACCCACCTCCATTTCTTGCTGCCTCGCAAATCTCCTTGGGAGAGAAAAAAGAAGTTCAGCCCATCATATTTATGGTAGATCTTACATGACATAAGCGAGTGACTCGATATGGAATACTCACCTCCCATATCCCTTGACCATTGATGTTATACTGAACTCTTAGAGCCACTATTAGTATAGCAATTACACAGACCCGTGTAGGCGGGACCCTGGCTGGATTACTAGACAACCACAGTTCTGAAGGCATAACCCACTCATAGATGCGGCAAGCGTGAGGGAGGATTCTTTCTACCGGCAGAGACAACTCATCCAAGTAGCGCTGAGCAATAGCATAGAAATTAACTGAAGGAAGCTGCAAGCCTATTCTTTGTGCTATGAACCCGGCGGCCGCTTCCAGCTGCCACGCTCCAATCACTCGGACTGGCCTGAACAGTTGCCTCGCATTCAGAGGGCAGTGTTTTAGAGGGCTCCCAAGAAGCTTGTCCACTTCGGTAAAAACTGCCACGTAAGGAAGCTTACCCTCCATCGCCCACCTATAAATGTCGGTCGGTAGGACGGCTTCCCGGGCAATATGGCAGGACAGGAAACAGATAGACAATGTCGAGTACAGCGGCAGCATCGTCCTCAGCGAGCGCAGAAAGATGAACTCGACCCTTCGCCTGTCTTTTCGAGGCGAGGCTTCATCCGCGCATTCACACTTCACCTCTTGCGGTTCCTGCTGGCCTGGACACAAAGACACTACATATGTTGATCAAGTTTGTTCTGGTCTTTCAATGGTGATAACTGAACAGGAGCTTAAAATTGACACCTCCGCTGGCAGAGCGCTTAATTAGTCTCTGCGTGGCCTCGGCCTCGGCGAGCACCTTCCGCGCCCACATTCCGTCGAACACCTTGGAGGCGGCCACCCAGCGCAGCCAGACGGTTCCGGCCACGCTGCAGACGAGCGCGCCCACCCGGTACCTCTCCACCAGCACTTGCAGCTGCCGCTGCAGGATCACCTGCAGCCCCTCCACGTAGCGCCGCCGGACCTGAGCCCCCAGCTCGTGGGATTCTTCGAAGGGAGGGGCAGCAGGGGGTTGCCCGGGGTAAGGAATTGGGTAGGGCGCCGGGGTTTTGGTGGGCTGGGAAACTCGGTGGAAGGACAAGTTGCCCGGGGTTTGGAAATCGGCGTGGTCGACGGCGGTCGCCTGGGTGTCGAGGTCGCCGTAGCACCGCCCGCAGTAGAAGCGGCCGTCGTCGGTGTCGTCGAGGCTGTAGTCGTCCTTGAAGCCGCATCGGCATTGCAGGCGGATGCTTCCGCCGCCGCCGCCGCCGTCATCCATGGGAGCGGCCGCTCGCGACCGCGCAGCGGATTCACCTAGCTGCACAACTGCCGGGTATTTTTTTCGGCCTGTTAATGTTAGATGGGCTGCAGTTGGGTTAGTAGGGTTGACATGGGCTTATGTTGTGGAGTGTTTTTTTTTTCAAATTTGCAAACTTGTGAACATGTTTTTTAATTCATGACCAATTTTTTTAATTCATGACGGGAAAACTTCTCAAATTCATGAACACTTATTGATTTCGCCAATTTTTAAAAATTAGCAGTAAAAGCCAGCCGGTTACTTCCTTGAGATAACATACCGACAACAGAAGAAAAAACGAGCAAGCACACGCGGGCGAACAGGCAGCCCATTGGGTGCACCCCTGTGCACTGTACCAGCACGTCGCCGCTCAAGGCGTTGTATATGAGGTCAGTGCCCTACTACTGAAGAGGGCAGTGCAGTGTTGAGCAGATGCGCTCGTATTGTGACGGTGGCCGCTCCGCATCAACATGGGAAGCGAGGGAGGACCTTGCATCATTCGCTTGCCTATCTCAATCATGTCCGGGAGTTACCACCAAGCGGCGGTTTGCATGCTCAGCACCCCAAATTATTTCGAATTTCCTTGCAATGAAGAAGAGAGACCCAGTGCATAGAAACTCCCACACAAGGTGGGGCGTGGGGAGGGATTATAGGAATTTAGTCTTACCCCTGCAAAGTACAATGCTGTGAGGCTGGTTCAAACTCAGGACCTTTAGGCACAAGTGGGGAGGACTTCACCACTGCGCCAGGCCTGCCCTCTTGGAAGTGCAATGCCGAGGATTTCCTACTCGAGGGCGATACGATAGGACACGTCGCCGAAGGATATCTCTAAAGTTTTTTTTTCGGCAACTGTTCTTTTGTCAAAAGAGTATGTAAACCGGTTCAATTAGAGCGGTTTCCATGGTTGAACAAAAAATCAACCTGGTAGCCACATAAACCATCATTTTCGCATGGCGGCTACATATAGCGAAAGGATATCAGAAAGTGCAGATATAGTGTAGCATAAACATGGCAGCAAAAAATCTGCCATATATAAATAAATAAAATCAAGAATGTGCGCATATAGTGTAGTACCAACATGGCATCAAATAGCTGCCATATTATCACAAATTAAGTAGAGATGCAGTTGCTGGTCATTTTCCACTCCAGTTATTTGGAATTATTATGCGTGGAAAGAGACGGGGGCGTACCAACCATGATTGGATTGGATTGGGTGCCAGAAGATGGTTGGTGAGTCGGTCGGGTGTTGTCGATAAGGCGGCACAGAAGGGAAAGCACCAACGCACCAGATTAACGTTTTCTTCATTCAGTCATACTACCGCCCTCTGCAGCACCAGACTGCATCACGCATGGCAGCTCCGGCGGCGCAGCCGCCGCCAAAGACCGTCCTGCGGGTGGCGGCGATCTCCGGCTCGCTGCGCAGGGCGTCGGCCAACACCGGCCTCATCCGCGCCGGTAAGTCCCTTGCACCCAAGGCCTCCTTCCTGTTTACCGTCCGTCAGTTCGTGTGGCTCACGACCTGGGTGTGAAGCCAGCCGCGGAGATCTGCGGGGAGTCCATCCCGGGCCTGCACATCGACCACGTCGACATCTCGGAGCTGCCGCTGCTCAACACCGACCTCGAGGCCGGCGGCCGGTTCCCGCCGGCCGTCGAGGCGTTCCGCGACAAGGTCCGCGCGGCCGATTGCTTCCTCTTCGCCTCGCCCGAGTACAACTACTCCATTTCAGGTGCCCGATTAATTCTCCTGACTGCCACTCCGCCGGAATCCTTCCATCCTTCCTTCATTCTCTAACTGCATATATGCTTTCTGCGGCTCTCCTCCCTACCTACCAGGGCCTCTGAAGAACGCGCTGGACTGGGGATCACGGCCGCCCAACTGCTGGGCCGACCGAGCCGCGGCGATGCTGAGCGCGTCGGGCGGCTCCGGCGGCAACCGGTCGCAGTACCACATCCGGCAGGTCGGGGTGTTTCTTGACATCCACTTCATCAACAGGCCGGAGGTCTTCACCAAGGCACACCTGCCCCCGAGAAAGTTCGACGCGGACGGCAACCTCATCGACTCGGAGACCAAGGAGCAGGTCAGGAAGATGCTCCTCTCGCTGCAAGCCTTCGCACTCAGGCTCCAGGGTGCAGACTCTGTCTGAACAGGGGAACTGATGCCTGAATTTGTTTCTTCAGACGAACGGTGGTGCTCTGCTCGTTAGATGGACTGAGCAGATCGTCACAAACTCCAAATGCGAAAGCCATATACTGGTTGATGCTCCATGATATCTGGAATAATTCTTCATCTGCGACTGAACATTCCGGTGGCACAGTAATGCAAATCTATTTTTATTATCTTGCCCCTTGGTAATTTTGTTAAGTAACTATGCCCGCTCAAAATGGAGCGCCCTCCTTCACTCGCTCCGTGGAGCCCTCTCCTCGCTCGATGAATTTACCAATTATTTGTCTTTTATTAATTTTTATCTTTTCACAATCATTAATATTTAAGAAATATCTTGAAGATTTTTTTAATTAAAATACATTTTACATTTGTTATATTCTCAAATATATTTCAAATACATGAATTTTTAAATTTATGAATAGTATTTTCTAATTTGTGAATATTTTTCAAATTTGCTAATATTTTTAAAATTCATGAATATTCTTTTAGCAATTATGGTTTTATTAATTTACAATAGTTTTTAAAAAACTTTGAACATCTTTTAATTTAACATACTTTTTCAAATAATAAACGTTAGCCGTTTTTTCTGAGCTAGCACTGAGGCGAGCGGAAAAAAAATAAACGAGCGAGTGAAGGAGGGAGCCGACTTGAATCTTGAGCAAGCTAGGGCTTCATAGACCACATTATAAAAATAACTTCATCCTTTCAACATTGAACATGAGCTTTTAAGGGGCTCACACAACGAATACCGACAGACACTGATGTCGAAATGTGTAAGGACACCACAATCATGCATCAAACAAGTCCACTCTCCTCTCAAAAGAAATACCATCTTCAATCACTAGTAGAAAAACACCTAATAGTCCCAGTTCGTAAGGGCCTTTAGTCCCGGGTTACTAATACCTTCACCCATTAGTCCCGGTTCAAACACGAACCGGGACCAATGTGCCTCCACGTGGCCCTGTGCGCCGAGCCCAGTCAGGGGGCCTTTGGTCCTTTTTTAGAAAAGTGGCTGCTTTAGGGGTTTTGGGGGTTATTTTTAGGTTTTTATTAGCTAGCTAATAGAGAGAAGTGTCCTCTCTTATATCTTCGTCCTTGGTTTACAAACGCTGCTGCTATATATGTTCATTTCACCCGCTGATATAATAACTCATGCATGCTCGCATCATACATCATTATATATAATAACAAGTCCTACTAATCATGCATCATCATACAACTTCTACTCGTTATTAATAATAAGTCATACAATCATCATCCTCATAGTCATCGAACCCAACCCTACATAATTGTTCTTAATTAGCACATGATCATCAGCATCAGGTAGAACATGACCTAAACACCCTTAAGGTAAAATAGCATAAAACAATATAGACCCTGACTCTCCATTATGAAGAATGGCGATCATCCTGTCTCCAGTTCTTGCCCTCCGCTGATTGTTGCTTCCAAGAAGCTCCTTACGACTGTCCATACATTTTTTCCATTCTTTGATTGTCATGTCTCCACTTCTTTTAGAAACCCGGTATGGACAGTTCAGATTCGTAGGAAGACCTGATTGTATGTTCAAAACATGAAGGCTACCGTGTGTATACATCAGATGAGGCACACAATCATTCGGTATTATCTGTTGAAAAACATAGTAATAACTTCATAGTTAGCAATGATGTACTAGTTTTAGAAGTGTGCAAAAAGATGCACGGATGTCTTTTTATTCTACATAGTAAAAATCTTACCAGGGTATCTCCATGGTAGTTACCATAGTTCAACACATGCACTAGTGGCACGTATTGACCATAATGTTGAGGAGTTTGATTGTAGATATTGTAATTCTCAAGATCAGTACAAAATGCGACCAGATGATTTTTCTCCTGATAAGTTAATTCGGAGCCTTCGGTGTACTAGGTTCTGTCTACCATCTTCCGCACATTCTTTGAAGAATGAAAATAAGCTGTCAATGGAAATAAGTTGTCAAATATTTTAAAATAAACAATATAAATTACTTAATAACTATGTTAAGCTCACATGGGGGAAGAATTGGAGGTGTATCCACAAGGACAAAAATTGAAGGCCTCTCTTGCGCGATTGTAGGATCACCAAGATCCATGGTGACAAGCATACCCTCATCAAAACCATACATCTTTCAAAGTGCTTCCCAGTTTTTGCAACCAAAATGGGTTACACTCTGAGCATTGTACAACTTTACTTGAAAATCCACACCATGATGGGTACTTAGGATAATTTTTTTTTTGGTTTCCATACTTTCATGGTCTTCAAAACCCATCCTCTCCAAGACATAGCGTCTTCCAAAGCATGGGAAAAGCTAGTCGAATTGGAAAATATGAAAAATACACGTTAAAAAAGTTGAAGTCGTGCTTAATTACGAAAAAAACTATTGTCGTCGTTGCGTACCGTATGAACATCGAAGGTCTCCTCGAGCTTAATGCTGAAGCGCCGATCTTCGTCCAGCTCAATGAAGCTGTCGCACATACCTCGGTCGTCGTGGCACCAGTCGCACTCCCCCGGATGGTTTTCATCGTCCGACTACAACATTTCCGGCCTAAGTTCATAATTCAAACATTAAATATATGTACTAAAAAACCTAAATTAGATCATTATTATTAATCACGGGGTGACTATCGGTGATGGTATGTAGCTCCTCCTTTCATTCCCGAGTGCGTTATTACAACAACTTGTCTAGCACAAGGGAATAAAGGAGAAGTTACCCCCACGACGGCCTGGATGATGGAGGGGGCTCCTAGATTTCTGCATGGAGAGTGCTCTTCAATTTTAGCATTCAAAGTAGGAGTACTTTTCCAATATGAGCATTCAATAAGCAAAACCAAATCGTAAAATAAAGTAGTATTCAAATTAGCATGCATCCAATTATAACCAAAAGTACATCATCTCTTGTGTCCATACATGGTCGAATACTCCTCGAATACTATCATACATATAGCATCGCTAATTAATACAGCTAGAACCGTAGCGCCCGACGGGTATCGTCGTGGGCGGTGAACCATGTAGCGACGGACGTGCTCGTCCTCCTCGCTGACACGGTGACGTACCACCTCCGTGGTGTCCGGAAGCCTCGGCACCGTCACTGGCCCACGCGACCGCCACCAAACAAGGATCGGGTCAACAACGGGCTGCCTCCTCACCAACCTACGTCCCCCAGAAGGTAGCACCTCCCAATACCAGCCCGGCGGAGCCCAGTCCCGAACATGGCCCTGATCAAGAAGGCCTCCACCGCCGAGTCGACGACGACGAGGATGCGGGATAGGCATCGCCGACGTCAATGCGGGAACTACGTACTTCTATATATAGTTAAATAAAGTAGTTTTATTAATTAAATCAACCTCTCTAGTTCAACTACTAAGCACTTACTATAAATAAATAAAGTAGCACTTACTATAAATAAATAAAGTAGCACTTACTACAAACTACTTCTATATATAGTTAAATAAAGTAGCACTTACTACAAACTACTTCTATATATAGTTAAATAAAATAGTTCTATTAATTAAATCAACTATACAAACTATACTAAGCACTTACTATAAATAAATAAAGTAGCGAAAACTCAAAACGGTGCCCGGGCTCATCTGCTCCCTCTCAGCAAAAAATTCAAAACAAATACTAGAAAAATTCAAAAAATTCCAAATTTTTTTGTGGTGGTAGATAATTTGACGTGTGAGGTGCCCCCCAAAATTCAACCTATTTGGACATCTGAGAAGCTCTCGGAAAAAAAGACAAATCGGGTCAAAACAGTGTGTGAACAGTGAACATTTTTACAGACCCTGATTTTGTCTTTTTTGCCGAGAGCTGCTCAGATGCCCAAATGAGGTGAATTTTGGGGCGCACCTCACGCGTCAAATTATCTACCACCATAAAAAAATTGGAATTTTTTGAATTTTTCTAGTATTTTTATTGAATTTTTTTCTAAGCACGGGTGCAGATGAGCCCGGATGCAGACAAAGTAGCACTTACTATATAATACTTATTAAAAATAAACTAGTATTTTCCTAACTAAGTAATATTTTTCTAACTAATTATATTACCAAAAAAACTAAATAAAATAGTAATTATGTTTTTCTAACTAGCTAGTTCAATTATAGTACTTTTACTAACACAATCTAAATATGAACAAATTAATTACACCAAAAAAATCTATTAACAGAAAAAAATCTAACACAATATGAATAAATTAATTACACCAAAAAATCTATTAATAGAAAAAAAATCTAAGACAATATGAATAAATTAATTACACAATCTAAATTAACATACTATGAACTACATATCTAAATTACTACACATCTAATCTAACAAAAATCATACAAAGTTGCTCACGGCGAGGTCGACGGCGACGGCTAGGTGCGGCAGGGCGGGTCGGGGCGGCGACGGCGTCGGGGCGGGGCGGCGAGGTCGGGGCGGGGC